ATACTTTTACTGGAACATATGCAGATTCTCCTAGCAGAAATTAATCACCCTTTCTTCAAAGGGATTATTCCTATCTTTTTGTGCTTCAAGTTTCTCACTTTCCCCATTTTGCCTTGTAGTTTTTTTTTTTTTAAGATTTATTTATTTATGCAAGAACTGGGGTACAGGCCAGAGGCGCTGGAGGGTGAGAGAATTCACCAGAGACAGAGTGGGGAACAGAACAGGCAGACGGACCAAAAGCACTGCTGAGGGGAGCAGCAGGCGAGACAGGAGGGGTCTGCCGTGCCATGAGGGTGTCTTCCTGGCTGGTTGGGAATCAAACCCATGCTGCAGAGGCTGCAGACAGCTTTGTAGTGATGTGCTCAACCCACCGTGCTACGGGGGAGGCCCTGCCTTATAGTTTTTTTGTAAGTTTTTTCATGACAGGATATTCATTACTATACACCCACATTTCATTCTCTTCTTAAAAAAAAAAAACACATTTCCCTTTCATGTAACAAATGCTTAGTAAATGCCCATCAAAGGTCACTTTTCCTACCTTCCAAGATTGCATGATGGATTTAAGTGTTCCATGGAAAAAAGTTTGTGCTGAATCCTGAAAATCTGCACCTACACTTTGCCCTTTCTCCTCCACAAGTCAGTTCTTAGGCAGGCAGTCTATATCAGTGTTTCCCCCCTTTTTTTTTTTATGATTTATTTATTTATGCATACAAGAACTAGGGTACAGGCCAGAGATGTGGGGGGTGAGAGGATTCACCAGAGACAGAGCAGGGAACAGAACAGGCAGACTGACTGAAATACACTGCTGTGGGGAGCAGCGGGCGAGAGAGGAGAGGTCTGCTGTGCCATGTGGGTTGCTCTCCGGCCAGTCAGGATGGAACTCATGCTGCAGAGTCTGCAGATTGCGTCATAATGCGGTGCTTAACCTCTTGTGCCACGAGGGAGGCCCACTACATCAGTGTTTTCTTGTGAAGAAGCTGAAAGTGTGGACAAAAGAGAAATAACCAAGCAATCACTGTATTTGCAATGTGACCTTTTCAGACACATGCAGGGAGACCCTAGAATACTGCACACAAATTGCAACTTGAAGGACACATTCTACACAATAAATCATGGAAATTAGATAATTTGAGTGCTGTTCTTTTAGACCTTCCCATGTGTGGGTCCTCTTTACTCACATCTCAACTCTAAGGGAGTTACCGCAGAAAGACTTTCTCTACTCATCCTTTCTGATTAATATCGTTCAGTCATGTTCTATCCTATTATGTTGCTTTTTTTGGTCATTTACTTGTGACTACCTGAAATTATTTTTAATTTTAGGTTTTTGTCATCCACGCTATCACTCTGGCATCAGAGCTCCATACCTTCAGGAACTTTGCTTGTCTGTGTTCTGTGGTTGTGAATAAACAATACACAGATCAGTGCCTGGCACACAGTATGTACTCAATAAATATATTTTTTAAAGATTTATTTATTTATGCATACAAGAACTGGGGTGTAGGCCAAAGGTACAGGGGGTATGAGGATTCACCACAGACAGAGTGGGGAGCAGAACAGACAGATGTACTGAAGTCTGCTGCACCATGTGGGTAGCTTTCTAGACAGCCAGGGATCGAACTTGTGCTGCAGAGGCTGCAGATATCTTCACAGTGCTGTGTTTAACCCCTTGTGCCACCAGGGAGGCCCTCAATAAATATTTTTTGAGAGAATAAATGATTATATTCTGAGGACGTTGGAAAGTCTTTTTGGTACTGAACCCCATCTGCAGAGAACTGAATTATAAGTCTTATATCCATATAATTTGGTTAAGGGGAAAGAAGAAGAATATTGGTGCCTTTTGTGGGCTACTGATGGCCTTTCAGACTTAAGAATCTCTTGGATTTTGAGATGGTATGCTTCAGAAAATGTCTCCCAAGCTAAGATGGAAAATACTTCACTAGGGACTTTATAGTATATATTCAACAAATAATTGCTAATGTAGTAATCTGAATATTTATTTGGCAGAAATAATACATAAGTATCTAGTATAACATACTTCAGAGCCTATATTTGGAACCCCAAAGACCCTACAAAGAGTTCAAATAAAGCATTTTAAACATCCATGTGATAATAAAACAGCAGTGTTGATATTACCTGGCAGCTTTTTCAAGAGTGAAAATTTTTAGGCCTCACTCCAGATTTACTGAAAGAGGATCTAAAATTTAGCACAATATGCTTTTTATTTATATCACAGTAAAAGAGCACCAATGTTATAGAAACCATATCTAGGAATGTGTATGTCGGATGGAATGAAGAAGTAACTAACAGCTGCTTCTAAAAATAAATACCAAGCATAAGTATGGGAGAAACCATGGATGAAGAGCTGTCTGAAGAGCTGATCATGAGTTAAAGGGAACAAGTCATCCAGATAAGGCCTAAGTGATATTCATTTTCACCTCATGATCAAAATAAGCAAGTTGGATGAACACACACGTCACTGGGTCTAGTAACTAGGCTAAGATAGCACAGGTGCTTGACTTTACATAGAAAACGAAGGACAAATCTATTTTCTGACTTGATTATAATGAAACGCATTTTTCCCCCACTCATTTTTAACTTAGCTCTTAATGATGCTTGATGAATTTCCTCAAGCTTTTAAGTAGCTTCGGGAGAGAGGGTGAGTCAGAAGGTGATAGGTTTGATTCTTTGTGGTAGGAGACAAAAGGAAGAAAAAAGCCTGGAGAAATAGAAAAGTTTGCCTGTGTGGGGTCTGTATGGAATAAGGGCTGTTGAAATAGCAAGATTCCTAAGTATATTTATATATACAAAGGGATTTATTTTTCCCTTTGTGAGGAAGAACACATATCATTTTATTTGGGAAAGAAGAAAAGAATTGAAATTGTGTTCAAATTGACCTTTGCAGTGAGCTGGGGACTCATATCCTGAAAAAATTCAAGACCGAATAGATCTATGCCTGTTCGTTTAGATCTGGAGAGTTACGGTGATTTACTAATACTCTCTGTTGCCATGACATCTTTATGAAGTCACTTAAGCTTTCCTATATTTTTAATTAGTAGTCATTTAGCCAGTGCCTCTGCTCCTTGGCAGCAATGGACTTAAAAGACGATGGAATAAAAAATGAATAATGAATACTGTCCTCCCCTCTAAACATCCCAGAGTGACCAAGGAGAGCTAATCATCCTCTGGATGTCAAAGATTTTTCTGAAGAAGAGTTCAGAGAAATGGAATTTCATACTTACCTCTTCATATTCCTTCTGTTTTACCAGCACACCTGACACAGGACCCAGTATGTACTGAGTGAAGCATTTCCGGACTGCTGATCCCCCCCTCAATGACTGTAGTTGATGAATCGAAACATGGCAGATCATAAGTCAGGAAAGCAGCCTTCAAGAGTTCATGTCTGTTGGACTTTTCACTCAGAGTCACTGCAGCCTTAATCCACATTTATTTTGGATGTGAGCAGTAAATGTTTAGAAGAGAGAGGACTTTTGTGGGCACAATCCCGGTGCATCATATCATCTCAACAAACCTTTACTTCTGACATTCCCTTTAAGTTATCAAGGTCTAATGGATACAAGGTATATTCATGTGCTAGGACTGCCACAACAAAGGTGGAGCGACTTCAAAACCAGAAATTTAATTTCTCACAATTCTGGAGGCTAGAAATCTGAGATCAAGATGTGGGCAGTGCTAGTTTCCTCCTGAGCCTCTGTCCTTGGCTTGTAGATGACTTTCTTCTTGTTGTGTTTTCATGTGATCTCTCCAAGGTATGTCTGTCTCCTAATCCCTTCTTATAAGAACACCAATCAGATTAAGACCTATTCTGATGATTTCATTTTTAATTTAATTTCTTCATATTCAAATATTCAAATACAATCACATTCTGAGGTTTAGGGAGTTGAGACTTCAACATATACATTGGGGAGGGAGATACCATTCAACACAAAACACAGGCGAACATTTGATTAGGTACAAGCCTAGATGTTAAGGAGTCACCTTCTAGGAAATGGAACTTCTTTTCCCATTTCTGCCTTAACTTCTGCTTTCCTGAATACCAAGAGTGTCTTTCTTACCATGACAGGAATCAGGAAAGAAAATAAGAAGAGTATTTCTTTCTTTTTTTTTTTTAAGATTTATTTATTTATACAAGAATGGGGGTACAGGCCAGAGGCACAGGAGGGTGAGAGCATTGAACAGGCAGACGGATGAAAGACACTGCTGAGGCGAGCAGCGAGCAAGACAGGAGAGGTCTGCCACATCATATGGAAATCTCCTTGGCCATCTGGAAATCGAACCCGTGCTGCAGAGGCTGTGAACAGCTTCACAGCGCTGCACTCAACCTGCTGTGCCATGGGGAGGCCCAAGAAGAGTATTTCCTACAGACTCTTTCTTCTAATTTATTGGCACTTTCTAAGGGGTTTTCCTTGTTGCTATACTAATCTAACCCAGGAGAGTTTTAGGCAGTGCCCTGGTGGTGACCAAATCGTGATTTTCACAAATCCAACCCCACTTCCCTCTTCAAGTCCTGAGGCAGGTACACCTGGGCTTTTTTTTTTTTTTTTTTTTTTTTTTTGCATAAAAACATGATATTCCAGGGGTTTTATCAATCTAGAGGGGACAGTTTTTCTAACATGCCCACCTTAAGGGGGCCTATTATATACTCACAAAATCATCGTACAGACTATGCTTGGAGGTTTACTCTGTCCTTTGTTTTCTGGCAGCAATGCACATAAAAGAGAAAAACTATATTTTTGTTCAGAAAAGCCCATGAAGCCATTTTTAGTGAAGTTTCAAGCTGGCCTGGAAAGGTTTGTGAAGCTAAGATACAGAAGAGGAAATTTCCATGGCGAACTTGATAAAAAAAAGCTTCCTCCTCAAAGTCAGGGTTACTAGGATGTCAAGTTATCACTCATGGTACCCAGAATCCACTCTGTGGCTTGACTGCTGTGGAATACTGAGGTTTCCAACAAAGGCTATTTTGCTTGTTTTTATTTTTTTTTTAAATATGCAAACACTTCATGAATTTGTGTGTTATCCTTGCTCAGGGGCCATGCTAATCTTCTCCGTATCATTTCAATTTTAGTATATGTGCTGCCAAAGCAAGCACTTGTTTTCAAATTTTTGTTTATTTTTGGAATAGACAATGAAGCTAAAATGTGTTCATATTTTCAAAATACAATGTCCAAAATTCAAAATGTATGAAAGACGATGCAGCCCTAAGTCTCCAGTGATAAGGAACCTGGCTTGCTCTACAAAGTGGGGTCCGTGGGTCAGTTACATCAGCATCACCTTGTGATAAATGCAGAATCCCTTGCTCTACTCCAGATCCACCGAACCAGAACCTGTGTTGAGGTGACCCACATAGCCATGAACATTGTGAAAGGATGCAGATGCATGAATGTAAAAGTTGTGAATACAAGCCTTAGCTATGACATTTCTCAGCACCAACACTTGAAGGTACTCCACATTCAATTATATGCATGTTTTAGCATTACCTAATTTACCAATCCTTAAAATCTACAGCTATGTGAATGGAGTAACAGAGCTAATACTGCCTGTATTTTTGCAGATATATTCACTCCTAAACCCTTCTATTCCCTAAAACAAAATTAGGAAAAATGGAGCTCATGAAGTTGGTAGCCCCATATTTTTCCCTTTGTATGACTCATTAAGGCTACCAGGTACAAAAGCAATAGGTTCAAGAAACACTTTTTTGTCCTTAACAACAGCCCTTAAATTTGTTTTCAACTTTATCCCTTAAGTTTCTCATGCCAAATTAGAGAAACTAAAAGAACTTGTGAATCTACATGATAAATGTGATTTATGCAATCAGTTTTATTATTAAATATTGACATCTCTGTAAAATTCACGTTGATTTGTTATTTATTTAAGCACAGAATTCATATAGATTTTTAAGATAAAATAGACTTCAAAGAAAAATTGAGTCTGAGTGGCAAATTTTTTCAGCCACTGGAGGAAATCCTTGGAAAAGTTTGATAAACATTGTAAATAGAGAAATCTCTGTGGAAGTTGAATGATGAACTAAACTTGGCTTATCCAAAATGACAAGCAAAGAGTAGGTGTTAAAATTAGAACGTGGGAGGTGAGCAGTTTTCCAGTGACTCAGTCAAATGAATACAATTTAATGATATAACTGTCCATGATTGAAATAAGAAAACATTGATAGAACTCACTTGCAGCTAAGAATACATCCCATGTTAATAGGATATTGTTTTTTGTATGTGGTGCAATGAGAATGTTTTTCTTACACTCCTAACAAACAGCATTTTAATATATGCTAAAAGAAGGTAAGTACTAGAACTTACAAATGGCCAATTTATTCTCTTGTTCTCAGGAAAAATAGAGTGGTAGTTAAAGAACAATTATTAGAAGGTGCTAGAAAAAAAGATCAAGGAAAAATTTCCCCCCTAATGTTTGTTTATCCCATGATTTCAATTTGGTATCATAAATTCATTTTATTACTCCGCTCTTCCCACCTCCAATTCATTATGAGTTTTTGGGAATATTTTTATTTAAAATATCCCAGTACAGGGCCTCCCTGGTACTGTAAGGGGTTAAACATCGCACTATGAAGCAATCCGCAGCCTCTGCAGCACGAGTCCAATACCCCATAGGCTAGGGAGCAGCAACCCACATGGCACAGCAGATCTCTCCTGTCTTGCCTGCTGCTCCCCTCAGCAGTGTATTTACTCAATCTGCCTGTTCTGATCCCCACTCTGTCTCTGGTGAATCCTCTCACCCCCCCCCATATCTCTGGCCTGTACCCCAGCTCTTGTATGCATAAATAAATAAATCTTTAAAAAAATAAAATAAAATATCCCAGTACATTGATTTATACATATGTCTGGATCATACAACAAAATATATATACTTATAATAAGTGTAGCACATGATATAAATATAAGCACAAATTAATGTTAATTTATATACTACCTCAATCATCAATCTATACCTGAGAGTTGGATACAACAGATTTTCAAATACTCTTAGCTAAATCTAAATCAGAGGAATTGTTAATTATCACAATGAATATAGGAAAATTATTTCATTGGTGAAATGAGCAGTGTTCAAGACATATGGTAAACAACACAGATTTTACAAGCTCTAGTGTCTTGAATAAAGAAAGTATCAGTACCTTATAAGACCGGCAGCCTAATCTTGTCAAAGTAGTCCCTTGGTCTAGAGTTTGATTGGGGCCTATAACCCCACCCTCACAGGTAATGACTGATGTTTATAACAAGAAGGTTTGCTAATCCTATTTTCAAAATATTATATCTCCTGTGGAGCGAACTTTTTCTGTAATGTGTTTGTCAGAGCACCCAACAAATACACGCGGCAAGAGGTTAGTGGTTGTTTTTCTGCCTACTTGCTATTAGATATTTGTAGGATTGACAGAATGAAATTTGGGACTTGCTTTCCTGTAATACACTGTTTGGAAATGAGGTACTAAGGAACAAGATGGATAAAACCAACTGCAATCCAACAATTTTCATGATCAGATATTAAAATTGTCCAGTGAACTAATATTTTTATGTCAATAGTGAACATTTCAGGTTTAACTACCCAACCAAAGTGGGAGAGGATTTTTGCTCTATCTTGGTGAATGTTCTATATTGTAGGGTAAGTAAAAGGGAAAAACTTCAGGCTTTTCGGCTCTCCCACCGCGCATGCGCACTCAGCCAAACGGCGGGGGCACTGACGTGGCTTGGAAGTGCGTGGCCCGGAGTGCTTGGCGCGGAGGGCGTGGCTCGTGAGGGCGTGGCTTGTGAGGGCGTGGCTCGGTGGGCGTGGCGGTGCTGGGGCCGGAAGTGTGCAGTGGAGCATGGCAGAGCAGAGCAGGAAAACACCAACACAGCTGCTAGAACCGGTAATTAATCTGCAGGTATGGGATGATTGCGCTACATATGTGTGTTTGTAAAGAAGGAATATCTTGCTGTTGAGTGGAATGTTCTATAAAGGCCAATTAGGACAAGCTGGTAGATACTGCTGTTCAATTCTCCTATACCCTTACAGATTTTCTGTCTGCTCTGTCACTTGCTGAGATAAGTGTTGAAGTCTGCTGTGGCCACTGTGCAATGGTCTATTTCTCCTTTAGTGTCTATGAACTTTTTTGCTTTATGTATTTTTAAATGCTTTAATTAGTGGGCACACATTTAAGGTGGTTACCTTATCTTGATAAACTGATCATTTTATAATTATGTAATGTCTTTTCTGTCACTAGTAATATTACTGGTTCTGGGGGGCCTCCCTGGTGGTGCAGGGGTTAAAGTCTCAGTGTTATCAAGCTACTGTCAGCCACTGCGGCATGAGTTTGATTCTCAGCCAGGGAGCTAACCCACATGGTGCAACAGACCTCTCCTGCCTCACCTGCTGCTCATCTTAGCAGTGTATTTCAGTAAATCTGCCTGTTCTGCCCCCAGGTGTGTCTCTGGTGGCATCCTCTCACCCCCTGCACTTCTGGCCTGTAGTTCTTGTGTGCAGAAATAAATAAAAATAAATCTTTAAAAAGATTGCTCTAGACCTGAGGGACTACTTTGGCATGATTGATGTTTACATTGAATATTTGATTTTTTCCTCTTGTGAGAGACTGATAAACTTTTGAGTTTATCAGTTTTTTGAGTTCCTGTGACAAATGAACATCTCTAATGGTAGAAAATGGGGAGTGTTTGGGAGAAATTCCAATTGCAGAAAGTATGCCATCACGAAAAATGCATATCACCTACATGTAATAGATGACAACAAAAAACAATTATCAGAACTCTTTCAGGATTTAGTTCTGAGATATATCTTTTTTTAAAAAAAGATTTATTTATTTAGGCATACAAGAGCTGGGGTATAGGCCAGATGCGTGGGAGGGTGAGAAGATTCACCAGAGACAGAGTGGGGAACAGAACAGGCAGACTGACTGAAACACGCTGCTGAGGGGAGCAGCCGGCACAACAGGAGAGGTCTGCTGCACCGTGTGGGTTGCTCCCTGGCTAGCTGAGGATTGAACTCGTGCTGCAGAGGCTATGGCTTGATTCATAGTGATGTGCTTAACCCCGTGCGCCACCAGGGAGGCCCACTGAGATATATCTTCTATGTCTGGATGTGAACCACCTATTCTACTTATAATGACTCTAACCAAATATTAAAATCCTTTTGAAAGATAGTACCTTTAAAATTCATCTCTTCAAAATGAGTAATTCTTCATTTTAGGTTTTTTTTTTTCTTTTTAAAGGTTTATTTATTTTTGCACACAAAAACTGAGGTACAGGCCAAAGGTGTACCTCACCTTTGGTGGGGGTGAAAGGATTCACCAGAGACAGAGTGGGGAACCGAACAGGCAGACTGACTGAAATACACTGCTGAGGGGAGCAGCAGGTGAGACAGGAGAGATCTGATGCACCATGTGTGTGAGCTCCCTGACCAGGGATCGAACTCATGCTGCAGTTGGTGGCAATAGCTTGATATCGCTGAGACTTAACCCGTTTTGCCACCAGGAAGGCCCTTTCATTTTGGATATTTTTAAAGTGAATTTTATTATACAAGATAGCGCTAAGATGTAGAAAATATTTTTTATATACAAACCTATAAAATTTAATATTGATCCTCTTTCTAAAATGATTGAATGGCTTTTGCTATTCTGTTATGTCTCCTATAATATATCTGTCCAGGTTAATGAAATATCGTGCCTCAATTTGGTCAGGGATAATGGTACAATAAAATGTAGACTTAAGCATGAAAATCTTCTCAATACAATTTACTGTGTTTTTTTGGTTGGTTTACATGCTACATCACAACAACAACAAAAAACTCATGACATTATAAAGCTGTACCCATAAAACATCCAGCTCATAACTCTCTTCCTCTCTATGCTTAGTAAATTATTAAGGAAAAAATATTAACATTAATTATGAGAATAGAGCTTTATTTTTAGAATAATTGATATCTTCTGGTTAATTAAAGCATTGTTTTCATTTTTGATAATTGCAACATTTCCATTTTGTTTTACATGCCAAAGTAAAACAAATATAATAATTGCCTTTTTTTCCTTTTAAGTCCTCAAAGAGATTGCTATCATCCCCTACTTGGCAAACTAGACTT